GGACTGAATATGACTTGTTACTTTTAGTGTTGGTCACTTTCTTTTAGATATTTCCCAGTTTGTCTCTGCTGTAAGTCTGACATTAGGAGGACACTTGTACCTTTTTCGCCCTGCCTACACATTTAAAAAAATCCTTTCTACCAACACAGAATTGTTTTTTGTATATTTTTACATTATTCTTTGTGAAATCAGTTTCTACCATTTCAGGTGCAAACATAAATAAAACTATAAGGGCTATTATTAAGGTTGCTCTGGTTGATCGGTCTAGTTGACTGGCCATCTTTAGAAACGCCAATCAGCTGACATTTATTTTATTCCACAGAAAGGTTATTCAGTAGTCTGTATATGGAGAAAGGAGCAGAGAGAGACGGGGTAAGCCGGTGTGTGTGAGACAGGTGTAGGTGTGTGCGTAAACTATAACTATCTAAATAGACCCAGTGATCGGTTGATACTGCTGCCCTGATCGGAGCACCTTTAGCTATTATGCTTTATTCATAACCATGCTTTACCTCATCGGTCTTATTTCACAGCAAAGATAAATCACTATCAAAGACTGCTGAGATTTAGTGTTTAGTCGGTCTTAATGACATATTTAGAAAAGGTTTATGAAGGGAAAATCATGACTAGTGATTCCTGCAGATTGGGATTAGGCAGAGGCACAATGGGTGTGAGCCACAACCTAACTACTCGATACACTTCATCATAAAAGAGGCTCCACTTGTTAAACAACTACAAACTAGTTATCAAAACATGTAACACACCGTTTACATTTTAAGTGGATCATCAGGTTTTCTAGAGATTTCTATGAATCAAAACAGATTTTCTACCAATGAATTTCTCTGACAGCCAAAAACCAGGTTAGACAACTTCCCATATGTCAGTTTTGTCGTAGATTTTTTGGACAAAAAGGCTGACTTTGCAGTGGTTTTTCAAAACTGCTTCACTTTTTTTGTTATTTTGCAATGAACTGTTGTAATATTTAAAAACTGTAAATGTGGTTCATTCCTGTTGTAGTCTGTGCAGAGCACAACAGGAATGCTGAATTAAGCCTGTCAAGCAGCAAACACTTCCAGGCAGTGTAATGCTCGAAACAAGCACCATTAATAAAATGGCTACAGTCTTTACTGAAGGACATAAATTAGATGAGACTAAACGTGCAGGGCACTTAAATCAAATCCTAACCCACTCTTATATCACTCAAACAAGCTGCAGCCTATGGCTAAATCAAGTAGATGTGCTGATCTCCCGACATAAGACTTGAGTTTTAATGTTTTTTAGAAGAACATAAATGTCTCTACATCATAAAAAGTGTTCAAATTCATCACCGTAAAACAACAATATTGCAGTTCAGTTTTGCAAGAAAGGAAGTTTGGGGGAAGTCAAACATCCAACATGACATCGAGGTAACAATTACCCTTTACAGTACAGCTCCTGTTGTATGGAAAACATTCAACAGTTCACAGTTGCTTAGAGTACACAGAGCCCAGTTAAGACAAATATATGTAAATTAGACATAAACACAAGCCACTGCTGGAACCAAACATGCAGTGACGCACAGATACTGCTATGCCACCTGTATGTACTGTGAGTTAATATAATAATAAAATTCTTATCTCAATGAATCGATATTACTAAATCATACATGTCTAGTGGAGCTAGTAGGCTCTAGGGTTTGGCTTAAGGCCTCGATTACACCGCACAGCAATTTATAATACTGTGGGAAAAGTTGAGCTAGGTTATACTTTTCTGCCGGACGACCCCCTGAGTTGTCATGTCAGTCTGAATCCTCACATTTCAGAGGCGGTTTGGCTTCTTTGCGTAAAAAAGGAAACAAATTGAAACACCCACTAATTTTCTGTTCAATCAAGGGGCGGCTGTGGCTCAGAAGGTAGAGCGAGCATTAACAGCAGGGTTGGCAGCCAGACCCCCAGATCCTCCTGTCAACATATCACAGTGTGCTTGGGCAAGACGCGGAGCCTCAAATTGCTCCTGATGGTGAGGCCAGCACCTACCAGCCATCAGTGTGTCTGTGTGTGTG